TCTTGTTCTCTCTCACATGCCCACACCCAACCTTGACTTCACCCTAAGCACGGCAGTGATAGTAGAGTTAAATGAAGCCGGGCTTTGCCTTCAAGAAATGCACAATCTAGATGGGCAAATAAGTAAGGCAAGTGAGGGGCAGGGGGAGGGGAGCAGACAGTCATGCTTTACCTTAGATTTTTCATATCTGATCTTCCTTCCTGGGCTGTAAGTTCTCAGTAGGCAGACGTTCTCAACCAGAGCCTGCTGCAGGGCTTGGCACATAGCCATATCGGAGTGAATGAACGACACTCTACCACAGCACATATAGGTGCTACTTGAGTGGCTACTTGCAAGTAGTAAAGAGATTAAGAGTAGTGCAGGCCAGTTTTGGAGTCTAGCCTTAAGGGTTAAACGCCACACAGGTAACCACTTACTCTGGGGGAAACAGTTCATTATGCCATGGTCTCCTTTGCATCCTTCAAGGTATAGCTTAAAGGCCAACTCTTCAGTGTTCCTCTTTGAGCCTCCTTTTTCCTCTCCCTTATATCCAAAGACAATGCCTATATTTTTCAGGCAATTCTTACCACACTCTAGGTTGTACTAAAGATATCTGGGCAGATATTTGATCTCCCTTGTTTTATCCCTAATTTTCTCAATGGATTCAGCCCATTTCTTAGTCTCTATGTCTATTTCTTACACAGGAAGGAATTTAATCAACATTGGGTAAATGATTACATTAAATTTGGCGCAAAGTTACTTCTTTTCAGACTCTGATATGGCACCTCCCTGCCACACATCCTTGATCCTTCTCACTGAGTTTCTCTACCTCCCTCTCTACTTTTGCCATACACATCATGAGCCCATTCAGTGAACAAGAGCTCCGGAGCCACAATAGTGATGTTCGACATTTAGTTTGGAACTGGGGAGATTCTGAAGGGCTAGTCTTATATTCTGGTTCTCACAGGATGGAAAAATTAAACTGTGGGATCAATGTGGTCTGTCTCTCTCTATCTTTCTGTCTTTCTCATAATAACACAAAAACAACACAAGCTTTGTGAGGAGACCTGGATGCTATTGCCTTCACACTCAGCTTCACACACTTCACACACTTCTGCTTCACAATTCCATGATGAAGTGAATTGAACTTCCCTCTAGTCAAGCATGGAACTCTGATTTCATTAATGCACTTGACATTCACTAAGGTCCTAGTATGTATCAGGCATTTTACTGAGAGTTGGATTGATAAGGACTAATGAGTCATGACCTCTTCTCTGTAGGAAATCACAGTGTATCAGAGAAAGCAAAAGTCCTCCAACTCTACATGATATGCACTATAGAAGAATTCACAGACTACTATAGACAGAGGAAAAGGACCATAAAAAGCAACTGACTGAAACCCCTAAGCCTCAAGATAGCTTGAAAAAAGGCAAATGTTCCAGCTTCGAAGGCTGAAAAATCTTGGTTTAAGTTCCACTTTGGCCACTTACTGGTTGTGCAAATTTGACCATGTCAATTTCTCTCTGAACTTCATGTTCAGTTGGAAGAAATACCTATCCTGCAAGGCTGTTGTAAGGATTAAGTGAGCAGAATACATATCACATTCATGCCACGAATGAACAGAGGACATTCAAAGGATAGTAACTCCCTTCTGCCATTAAACCAACTGTGTAACTCTGCATAGTATCTTTTTAAAGACATTAAGGATAAACTGCTGCCTTAGTTTGTCCAGCCTACTATAGCAGTTGGTTTATAAACAACAGAAATTTATTTCTTACAGTTCTGGAGACTGCAGATTCCAAGATCAAGGTGCTAAAATATTAAGTGTTTGATAAGGGTCCATTTCCTTATTCACAAATGGCCACTTCTCCCTGTGTCCTCCCATGGTGGAAGGAGTGAGGGAACTCTCTGGAGTCTCTGTGCTAAGGGCACTCATCCCATTTAGAGGCTCCACCCATGTAATCACCTCCCAAAGGCCCCACCTCCAAGTATCACCACATTGGGGATTAGGTTTCAACACAGGAATTTGGGAGGACACAAACTTTCCATTTATTATACCTGCTTTTTTAAGCTAGTCTCTTCCATGGAGACTCATATTTCTCATAATTGAGAGAAATCTGTTTACTGGTATTGCATTTAGAGCTTCTAAGTTCATAAGAATTCAAAATAATAATCAAAATAGTTCCTGTTCCTTGAGATTTCACAGAGCTTGTAGTGGACATTGTGATGCTGCCCTCAGGTTTCCAGTCAGCACCTAGGCACTTATTCCCCAGCTGCCAGAAATGTGGATCGTTGACCACTCTCAGCTGAGTCATTTTTTGAGTAATGCCTTCCATTGAAAGGGACCACTCCACACAAGATTACGTCCCCTCTCCAGGGACAGCTCATAGCTTATAACTGGCTGATGTGGGGATAGAAAGTCCTGACATCTTTGTCTTGATTTGGAACATCACTGAAGGACCGTCCCAGCCCCAGAGTTCCTCCATGGGATCAGCTGAGGGCTTTGCTGTGTGTTAGTTTGACCTCTCCCTTTGCCCAATCCCACTTTGCTCATCCTCTTACAAGAATATGTACCTCAAAACATCCTGAATGCTTGTGTCTGCCTCCGAGTCTGTTTTCTGGTGATTCGGACCTAAGACAAATGCATTGTCTTATGCAATCTTTATATCAACCTATGAAAGGGGACTTGGTATCACACCTTTCATATAGGGTAACTGAGGGTTTGTTTTTTTGACCAAGTTTGTAGAGCTGGTAAGTAAAAAAGTGAGGATATGAGCTCATATCTTGCTGATTCTATTCTCTTTATTACTGCACTGTGTAACTTTCCTGAAGTAGAGGGATTAACCAAACTCAGTCCTGGGACACAATTCAATATCCATCTTTCAGTCTTTAGTGAGAATAAATACAAGAATTATCCATTTAAACAGCATGACTGTGCTTTTTTAAAGAAAAATCTGTAGTTGATACTGATGTTCTGTGCCTTCCTCAAGGACCCATGTGACATGTTTCTGCTTGGGCTTATTTCCAGGGGGGGAAATATGGCTTTGCAGATAGATTTGCATATCTTCTTCTGCCAGAAATTTGAAATATGGAATCCAACAGACTCCTTCCTTTTTTGCCTTAGCTGCCAAGGACTTTAGGGCCAACTTGAAATGTGGTCATTTCGTTATCTCAGTCCTGATACTATCGATTCCCCCTACTTCACAAAGATGCCTCTTTCTTTTGCACCAGAATTATGTTGTCCACTGTGCCTTTACTTAGGGATTTACTGCATAGGATGACAGAAATCATATGATTTGTGTGAATTAGAGAAGCTAATCATTGCCGATCATACCCTTACTATTTCCAGGGAAACTTCTCCTCCCATAGTCTTAGATGCTCAGTCAGCCAGGTGTGGTCTGATGTGATCCCACCTCTCTGGCCATTGCTCATTGGACCACAGCTTTTCACCAGAGTCAAGAGGAGTCCAACCATAGGTCAGCCAGCAGAGTCAGATGTGACCTGACAGAGAGGCCTCCATAGAACCCATTTGATTCTTATTAACTGAGTCTGTCTTTGGAGAACTTGAATTGCACTCACAGAAAGATTTGTTTCTTTGTTTTTACTTGACAGTGAGGTAGACACAAGGTGAGAAGCTGAGTCATGTTAATTATAAAACACAATTTAAAGTCTCCTGCTGCTGCCGTCTCTAGATCTGCCATCAATCTAGACTCACGCTCCCTGTCTAGCTTTGTGAAGCCTGGTCCTGTGTGGGTACATATTTTTCCCACTGTGAAATTCTATCTTTGTTTTGTTTTATTGCTATACATACATACACTCACCATTTGCAACTTGTATGCAGCCATCCTGAATGGGCTTCTGTTTCTCGCCTCCCAAAAAAAGTATGTGTGTATATATATGTGTGTGTACATGTGCATGTGTGTGGAATATCTATAGAGTATTATACATTTACAGGTAATATAGTAATATATACATATATGTATGTTTCCACATATATGTGGGATAATAAGGAACATTTTAGAGCAAATATTGGCCTACGCAAGCACTCAAGAAGAAATGTTAGCCATCATAAATGTTGAAAAATTGGTTGATTAGAATAAAAATGTTAATATTTAGCTTCTCCTGAAGAAAATCTGAAGATCTGGTGCCAATAGCCTTTAGTTCCATGTGGCAAGACCTGCTGGAGCTGTATCATAGCTGCTCCATTTTAATGGGGCCTACAGTGTTCCTTGTGTGTCAAACCCCACCTTCTCCCTATTGTTCTGCAACATCAGGGCATTTTTTTTCTTGGGTGGGCGCTGCTCTTTTCCTTAGAGGTGCTGGGGATTTCTTTGGAAATCTCACTTTGTCTCTGTTTTCTCTATCTTGGTCTGTCTCTCTCTATCTTTCTGTCTTTCTCATAATAACACAAAAACAACACAAGCTTTGTGAGGAGACCTGGATGCTATTGCCTTCACACTCAGCCAGTCTCTCCTGTTGATGTTAGCCTCCTGGCCCCTGTGGGTATCAATGACCCCTGTTCCAGAGGAGACACCTGAGTGACAGGGACATTAGCTTTTTTCATTTCCTTTGAAATTTAGTATTTAATCATTATTTCCTAGGATAAGTCAGGTGCCAGCTAAGCATTTTATCTACATGAATTTATTTCATTCCCTTATCAACTCCATGAGGTAAGTTCCATTAATATTCTCCTTTACAGAGGAAGTAACCAAGACCCGGGGCATTGTGTGACTTGCCCGAAGTCAATGCCTATTAAAGGCAGATCCTGAATTTGACCCTACTTCCCTCTCAGTCCTAAGGGCCTATCTTTCATCACTAGGCTGAATTCTCTCCCATGTTTGATCTGCCTCTATCTCCCTATGGGCTTGCAACACCATGACGGCCACATTGCAAGTGCGCTTAGACAAATGAGATCAGATGACCCGGGGGGTGTGGCTCGTACGCACCTCTCTGTGTTCCTGTAGCATCAGCTAAGACCTTAAAATCAGTGAGAAAGTAGTCATCTCTCTGTTCACCCATAGGAAGCAGCTTCGTGGTGAGTGAAGGGAGCTACCTGGACATCTCCGACTGGTTAAACCCGGCCAAGCTTTCCCTGTATTACCAGATCAATGCCACCTCCCCATGGGTGAGGGACCTCTGTGGACAAAGGACGACAGATGCCTGTGAGCAGCTCTGCGACCCAGAGACCGGTGAGCCATGGGAGCCGGGATGGGGATAGAGGGTGGGAGAGTCTGGGTGGAAAGAGGCTCTGTGCTCCCTCTACCTAAAGAACTATGGATTCTGAGCCATTGATAAGTGACTGGATAAGAAGGCCCATCAATCTAATTAACACTAATCTATGTGCTGCCTTTGCCTTTCAAGGGAGGAAATTCTTAGAGAAACACAGACTCTCAGAGTAAGAAAGGACCACAGAACATCTGGCCCAACTCCAGACAAGCAAAATGTCTGCACTTCAGATATCCCTGCGTTCAGAGCTTATCTTCTTGTGACTAGCTGGGTGATCTTGAGCAAGACACTGCCTACCTTTCAGTACAAGAGAATGAAAATAGCACCCAACCCACAAAACTGTCATTAGGATTGAATGAGATGCTGTATAGAAATCTCATGCATATTCATTCATTCACTCAACAGGTATTTCTTTAGTAGCCAGGCATATTTTTAGGTATTGGGAAGATAGCAGTGAACAAAATATTCAAAATCTCCACCCTCATGAAGCTTACATGCTACTGGGGTAGACACTAAACATGCACTGTGGAATATAGTAGCCACTAGCTACATGTGGCATTTTATTTAAATTAATTGAAATTAAATAAAATTAAACATTCATTTCCCCAGTCATACAACCCAGATTTCAAGTGTTCCATAGCCATACACTAGCAGCTACATTTTTGCACAATATAGATATACAGTATCTTCATCATTCTGAAAATTTCTATGAGACAGTGCTGCAGTAGTCAAATAAGCAGGTAAATTATATGACTCTATGAGGTGATGATAGATGCTGGTGTAGGGGAAAAGAATGATGTACAAAGCATGTAGAGTGCTAAGCTGGGAGTATGGGTGGAGTTTCATTATACACAGTGTGGTCGGGGAGGCCTCTCTGAGAAGGTGACATTTGAGCATCCACCTTGAGATGGGAGAATAAACCATGTCAGTATCTGAGGGACGTGTTCCAGGCAGACGGAGATAAAAGAGTCAGTGGCGCAGTCTCTACTTACTACAACCTCCACCTCCCAGGTTCAAGTGATTCTCCTGCCTCAGCCTCCTGAGTAGCGGGGATTACAGGCACATGTCACCATACCTGGCTAATTTTTGTATTTTTAGTAGAGATGGGTGGTTTCACCTTGTTGGTCAGGCTGGTCTTGAACTCCTGACTTCATGATCCACCCATCTCAGCCTCCCAAAGTACTGGGATTACAGGTGTGAGCCATTGCGCCTGGCCTAATATGCTGCTTATTTAGCACTGGCAGTGGGGCCAAGATGGAGAGTAAGAAAGAAGGGGAGAAGGAGAATAAAGCTGAGAAGAAGAAGTTTTGGGGCATGGTGGTCCTCAGGGCCTTGTATAGGATAATATGGACTTCAGATTCTACTCTGAGGAAGACGGACAGTCTTTGGGAGATTCTGAGTACAGAAGTAACATGCTGTAACCTGCATTTGAATAGGACCACTCTGGCTGCTGTGTGGTGAATTGATTCAGGAGTGTTCAAAGGTCCTGTTACTCTAATCTAGGCAAAGGTTGGTAGTGGCTTGGACCATGGAGGTAAGAGACAAAGATGATGAACAGTGATCAGATTCTGGATATATTTAAGAGTATACGCTCAACAGAATTTATTGCTGAGAATAGAATGCAAAAAATAGAGTGGAGTCAAAGATTATTCCAAATTTTTCAGTCTGAACAATGGAACACATTGAGTTATTATTAACTGAGTCAGGGGATGCCGCGGGAAGGTCAGGGTTGGGTGAGGAAGACAAAGAGTGCTGTTTTGGGTGTAAGTTCAAGACGACTACTAAACATCAACAGAGAATGGGCATTTGGGTCCTGATCTAAGAGCCCCCAGCTAAATTGGGATTCCAGTAGTAGAACGTTTAGCAACCCTTCCCAAATGGGAAATAAAGTGGAGCTGGGTGTGGGTGTTTACAGTGTGCCCTTCACGGGATGCTTCTTTTAACTGGTGGGCAGTCTAAGATCTGGTTGTCTGATGGTGACCCAGGAGATCACCTGTGATCCTGTGAACTTCTCACACAGGAAGCTTGATTACACTGGCTGCCACCCTTGGTGGTTTATCTAACCTGTGCACAGTGAATGCCTGCCTGACCATCAGTCATGTGCTGGGAGCCTGCCCGTGTGTTCTCCCCAGCATCCAGGGCCTAGGATAGCCCCTGCTCCTTCAAACAGAAGGCACAGATTCAATTAAACACCACCGTAGGAAACAAGTTCAAAGATTAAATACTTACAGATCCTGAGTCAGGAAGGCAATCTTCTGTCCCTGGGTCACAGGAGGCAAGAGATGGGGGATGACTCAGTTGCCAATTTTGTTAGTTTAATTGTCTTGACAAAACTGTGTTTATTTCTATCACCTCATCTTCTGCCTCTATTCGCCTTGTGTCCTGGGTTCTAGGCATACCACCCACGTGCAGGTTCGCTGAAGGCACCATGCCCTTGCATGCCTCTGTCCCTTTCACAGGCTGTTTCTTCCCCTTGAAAATGTCTTTTTCCTTTTAATGGGAGATCAGGGGCTTCTTTTTATTTCCTACACTTTCAGCCCAAACACCTTTCCTCCCACAGGTGGCATTCCTGACCCCCTCCCCCTAGCCCTGAACAGACGAATGGGCCCTCCCACCTACTGTCATAGCCTTCTGTGCTTCCATATGTCATGGCCTTGTTCCTCTACAAAGTCATTGTTCTTTCCTTGTCTGGAACTATCACCAGACTGTAAACTTTGTTGGAGCAAGGAGGGAGGTTCAAGATGTCTGTTTCACTTTTCTTGCTATCTTTAAAATTCAGCATAATGCCTGACATGTAATTAAGAGACAAAGAATAATACAAGAAGGAAGGAAGAAGGGAATTTTCCTCCCGATGCTTCTTGAAACAATTGTATATACCAATTCTAGTTGTTCCCCTTTTATTCACTTACATAAGAACTCAAGTTAAATATTTGGCAGATCTAGAAAAACTGGATCACCAACAACTGTGCAGCATCCAGGTATCTGAATTCTAGGATACCCTGGTCTTACTCTCTTATTCCAACACATCTCCAGCAGCATGCCTCTTTCCATTGCTTACTCTGCTTATACTCACAATTATTCCCCAAACATCCCCATGTAAAGTTTTACCTTTTGACTAGAGTTCAGCTCTTCTCTCCACCTGAAATGCCTCCCACCCTTTAATCATCTACCTTCCACAATCCTACTCATTTAATTTCTTCTTACTTCTTCTCAGTAGAATGGATGACTTCTTCTACAGAATCATCAGAGTTTTTTGTTGACTAAAAACCAGATTAAAACTTGAGTTAATGATTGAAAGTTTATCTCCCCTGCTAGAAAGTAAATTCCTTAGGGCCAGAGATCATATCTATTCCTATATTCTTTCCACTGCAATGCCCAGCAAAGCACCTTTCTCTTATAAGTCACTCAAGGCATAAATGGATAGGACTGTCTACAGGTGGAAAATTGAAATAGGAACATAAGATCCCTAAATATATTTTCATGGGGCTTAACTCAGATCTACTTTGTAAAATTTAGTTCAATTCATTAGATTCAATTCAAGCAAGATTTTCTTAATTCTGCAACTCATAAGTTGGTGTGTTAAGTATTATGGGAAATCACAGACAAATTGCACAATGTTCTTGCCTTCATGGATTTTACATTTTACAGGCATAAAAAGAATCTGCTCATATATAGCTATTATCAAAAACGCAGTGTAGTATAAATCAAGAACAATGCATTAACAAAGTGCCTCAAGCCTGAAGAACAGGGAGAAATGTATTCTAGATGGGGATTTCAGGAGATACGTCATGGAGAAGATGACCTTTTAGCTCAGCTTTGTAAAATCAGTAGGGACTATGAGTATGGAGGGTGCTTTAGCAGAGGGAACTTGATTTTTTGAAAAAGAGAAAAGTTTAGAATGATTCTAGGACCCAGAGAGCAATTTAGTTGTGCTGCCATCTGGAGAAAGGTGCAGGCAGAGCACTGGGAGAGTGGCAGGGGATGAGGTTGGGAAGGTAATATGAAGAGAGGTCTTTAAAAGGTAAGGATCCAAAGACTTTGAGAACATCTGTTCTCACAAGTAGATGGGTCCACCTGTTTTGGAGAGCATCTAACTCCCTCAAAGAACAATTAGAACTTTCTCCACTCTTTGCTTCCCATCAGGAATTAGAATTTGGGGAAAGTCATGGAAAAACTAAACCCTGAAGCCCTATATACATTTAGATCTGGATATGTCAAAAGTAGCTTAGCTTCTTTTAAAGAAGTCTCTCCTTTGTGAGTCAAATCTGTAGAGCTGGACAGAGTTATGGAGTCGAAGCGTTGGTTATCATTCCCTAAAGCTTTTCTGGATGTGTTGATAGGAAGATTTGTTTCTCCCAAGTGACAGGGAAGGAGGAGGAAAGTGGAGAAGATGCTACAGCTGAAACATTTATATAATTGTCTTGGTGCACACATGAACCTGGCCAAGTTTTCCTGGCTGCATGCCACAGCCCATCTCCGGTGTGTTTTTCCAGGGATTTCAACAATTAGTACCACCCACAGGGATGGCTATGGAATTAGATCCGTGATGTGCTGGAGCCAGCTCACGTGGCACCATAAGAGTTGACTGTTAACATCTTTTCCCAACTCTTTGTTCAGTGATGGCATGTTGATAGCCTGAAAATATGCTGTGGTGAGGATGTTTACACCAACACAATTGGTAAATGCAACAAAATCGAGTTTATTTTTTTTTTCAGAAAGACAGTCATTAAACATTTACCAGCACAACACTGGATGAGATGAGAACAAACCAATGAAAGACCAAGGCAAAAAAGTGGCTAGTGGAGACCTGAAAATGTCACCAGAGTGACATTGTGCTCCTTCCCAGGATAGACTACCATTATCTTCATCTCTCTGAGGACAGAAAGTGAACATCCAAGGACTACATGCTCTGGTCCAATAAAATGCAACACCAAACAGTTGAAATCATTAGGCTTTGACTCTC